GTAGTACTGCATTAAATAGGACTACACATGTATGAATAAGTAGAATTTGTGGGCTGTACAATTTAACTCTTCCTACTGTCACATTTCCTAACAAATATTCCTTTGATTTCTCTATGTATATAAATGATAAATGTCCCTCTTTGTTGGCCCAGGGTTTCTCCTTCCACGTGGGAATACTCTGCTCATTTGTTCCTTCAGACAGGTATCAAATGGACATTTTTCAGGAGACTTACCTTCCATATTTATTCATGATTTGGAAGAGGGGCCCTTTATGTTGTCATCAGTGCAGTCATGAACTTTATAGGAATTTAGATTCAGTTTTGATCAATGCAGTTAAAAATCAAAAATAAATAGGAAGAATAGCCTTAGCTGAAACTTCAGTAACTTAGAAAACTTCTTTATCTGTCCCTTATATAAAAATAATGAAGTCAAATACATTAGTAAACTTATGAATTTCTCATACTTTTTATCCAGATCATTGCTTCTGTCAATTATATATTAAAGCAATTGATTCCACCTTTTTTACTTTTACCTTGTTCCTCCTCTAAAATATTTCTAGGTAAAATGGCTACCCTACAGTTTATTTTCTCTCAACTCTTGGCAGCTAACTCCTCTGTCATTTCATTCCCATCCTTCATCAAATTACGATGATGCTTGCATTTAGATGCTTTCCAGCTGTTAGGAAGCATACTACAATTTCCTCCATTTGCCTTGACCAAAATCAACATTGCCTTTGATCCAGCCTTCCCTTCTTAATTGTCTGTTCTTCATCCCCACATTCTTGGAACATATTTCTAGTAATCTTAGGAGAAATTTAAAACTATTTTCTCTTTCTTAAATCTGTGGAATAAACTTAGATAATTTATCAACTTCCATAGGATTATACAGAAATATATAACAATGGATACATGAATTAATAATACTTGTTGTACAGTTGTATTGCTTTTATATATTACTAATATAAAAGCACATAAGTACAGTTAGCAAAATGAAAGTTAGGTATTCTTGAACCAGTATGTAAATCTTTAAGTCATCATTCCTGAGCAAAACAGTCTAATAGCTGTATGTTCTATTGCCTGCAGTCTTACAGCAAGCAAACTTCTAACTTACCAATTTCTTATTTTTGAAAGCGTAAAGATTCAAAGGTAAAAATCCCCTGTATTTGAGCATTTTTTCACCCATTTTCATTCAAAGCATCTGATAAGGCTCTTTAATAATACAGGCATTACTAATTTACTGTTGTCTCTCACTAGCATTTTCAACACTAACACTGCATATATTGTTTTGACTACCTTAATCACAGTACTGTATTGTTACTTAAGAAAGTATGTTCTCATGGAATACTTTCTTCTATTTGGATCCATCTTTGGTATACATTTAATAATCATAGGTTGGTAATAATATGAGTTTATAATCTAATTCAGTGTTATAACATTTGCATGATCAGGTCAATATAGCTAAATTGCTTGCATTTCTGTATGTGCTAATACATACTGATCTTTTTGTGTTGTGCTTATTTTGGCATGGCTTTTACTAACTCAGGCTCTTGTCCTACAGATGCTGATCAGGAGTTATTCTCAGATGATGGGTCCTCTGTTTCCCAAATTAACTCTCAAACTCAGTCCCCACAAAATGCCCCTGACAAATTAGAAGGTATATAATGTAACGTCATGTGCAATATTATGAGTCTGGAAGGTGTAAATGCTATTTGCAATGCACAATATTGTGAGCCTGTAAATCCTTCCTTACAATCTATTTTTTAACTCCTGAGATCAGTCATAGAAAATATGTGAAAGCTAATATTTATTTTATAAAATTGAAATCTGGTACACTGTCCATATGAATTATTAGATCATTTTGGTCTAATCTCATTCATCTTTCAGAATAGGTCATCTAAAAGGGAAGTTTCAGCATTGTGTTAATTTATGTCCTAGCTTTAAGTACAGTTTCTATTTGTGAAAAAAGACATTATTATTTTGTTCCCTGCATTATGTAGTACAACTTGGGCTACTAATGCCAATCTAACGTAACAAACAGGTCATGAAGCTGCTTGGCAGGGTGTACCTTCTAGTCAGAGGTACATTCTGTACATCTAGTTGTGTCTGGGACTTGGCTAAAAACCTTGATTCCAGACAGCCAAAGTTTAATATTATTTAATGTTGCTCTCAAGTTAAGCTTTAGGGAAAAAGGAGAAATGCAACACTGGTGGGATAAGAAGGAACTGAAGTCCAGATTACCCAATTTTACAAAGTTCCAATTTTCTCAAAGTCCCAATCCAGAATTGTATTTAGCCCTTTTTTGAATGGTCGGGCAACCATCTGTTCTATATAAACATCAGTGCAAGAAAGAATAAAATAACACTTTTTTTTCCCTCCAGAAAATAATGACAATTACCTACAGGATCCTAACCTCATCTCTTTGGAGCTCCCAGTTGTAGTTATGAATGGCAAAGAAGATATACATGATGTGGAAGAGGATCTTGCCCAGAGAGTCAGCCAATTAACCACTAGTACTGTAGAGAATATAGAGATTACAATTAAGACTTCTGAAAAGATTGAAGAGGCCCTTTCTCCTGAAGGCTCTCCTTCCAAATCACCATCGAAGAAGAAGAAGAAATTCCGTACTCCATCCTTCCTGAAAAAAAACAAAAAGAAGGAAAAGGTGGAGGCCTGAGGCTTCACTGACACTTTAATCATACATCTAATCAGTTGTTAAAATGGTCAAGTAGGGTTATGCAAGAAACTGGGCCTTAACCTAAGTACAGAACTGGAAACAATTACATAGAAACTGGGCTTTTTGATCAATTAAATGAAGAATTCATCTCTTAATTAGTACAAATAAAAAGTATTATGAGAGTTTTAAGTACTGAGTAGTTCCACCACAAACTAACACTGGCAGTTGATTCAATATAACACCACAGTAATTTCAGATACCCCTATCTAGCAAGTTACACATGAAGACTTTTGTTGATTAAAATATCTTCAGCAATTTCACTATTGGATGATCAGATAGTGTTTGTTTTTAACCTACTGCCACATTATATAATTGGGTGATGCTTTTTGGATTATGATCTTGATTATGGCATTTGTTTTGTCCCTGCCTCAAAGGGTGTCTCTCATCACACCATCTCAAACCTTGGTCATTTAATTATATAGTGGCACGTAATTTTAGAAGGGGAAACTGTAAAAGGAATTGCATTTGGAATTTTACAGACTCTGAAAAGGTTGCATTCATCAATAATAACTTTTGCCAAATAATTCATTTTAGTAAGATAGAATTTTTGAAAACTTTTTTTATTCTATCAGTTGGGGGCAGGGAGAAAGCCCTTATTTTTCAATAAAGGGGGTTTTATACACTTAACATTGATAACTTCGTTTAACTATGGCAAAACAGAAAAAGAATTTTATATGTTGAAATTTTTGTATACCATTCAATATAAAGTATTATAGGCATGTAAACCAAGCATTTAACAGTAGAATGTATTTAAGGATGCTTGGTGTAGAGTATACTTAAATATGATTCATGAATCCAGAACTTCTGACATCAGACATTAAGAGCATATAAATTTACTGGATTCAATTCTAAATCTTATATTTTTTTCTCATAATATTGCTATTGAATGAAGAAAAATAATCTTGATAACATATGATCATCCAGATCAGTTGTGTCCTAGTTTCATTTAGCCTTTCTGAATTATTTTTGCAGAAATTTCAGTTGAAATCTCAAGGTATGAGATAGAGTACAGGTGATAAGGCTACAGGATGGCAAAACAAGGGGATGAAAAGTTATATCACTGGCCAGCAAAATGTCATTGATAGTGTAGTACTTGTGGCACTCTTGAAGTCACATTCTGACATCCCTCTAACAAGCAGTAACCCCAGTAGCTGGGAAAAGTTTATATTGCTGGCATGACCCTATATTGCCATTTGAGTGCAAGGATATGTGGATCCCAGGAAACGATTTGGATGCAACTGCATTTATGTTGCACTATAAACTGATCATCTGGAAAGGACCATAAGAAAATAAAAGAGACAAAACTGGAAAAGGGAAAGTGAGATGGAAAGAATAAGGGAGTGGAAGAAAAATGAGTAGTAGTTTGTGGATTATTTTTCATAAAATACATGGCATGAATTGGGGGTATTTTTATTAAATTGATGGAACATCTGTTTTATATTTTAAAATTACAATAGATATTAATAGGATCATTTTAATCTACGTTTTGCCTTCTCAATGAATCTTAGAGCAAATTAGTGCTGATTTGTAAGTGCTGATCCTGCCATTTGTTCTTTTTGCTGGTAGTTTTATTTTGCTTTGAGTTAAAAAGAAAAAGAAAACAAATCTGTAAATACACACTAAACATGAAAATGAACTATGGCCTTTGTACATCAGTAGGCACAAGAAGAAGTGCATCTCAAATGTTAATGTGACTCCCAGATTGCCAGTTGAAATATATTACCATATATAGATGGTTCAGTATGGCTGGGATGTGATTTGGCATGCAAAAATTGAGTATAGCATGTTACAGGGCTGGTTAGCTTTGACTGTGTAAGTGTGGCAGTGCAGCGCAGAAGTGAATCTGGAAATGATATTTTAAATATCTCAAAATACTGGAATCAGTGTGTTCTCTTAAAAAATAGTGGGACTCTCTAAGTTGCTTAACTTTTTTATGTTCTACATTTTTGTGTTGTATTACAACATATGTAGAAAAGTAACCTGTGAACTATGCTTTTCATAACTTTAAAATCTATATCTAAATGAATGCAATGTGCATAAATATTTTTTAAAAATGCAACCGTGAACTATTTGCACCTTTTTTCGCTAATGCCTCTATTTACTTGCTTTGGCATAAGAATGAGCCAGCCAACTGTGTCCTGTGGAAAAAGATATATAAATGTTGTTGGAAATTGCTTATAGATGTAATGCTAATTAATGTTAAATCACAAATAAACAGTATTTTAAGTAGATGGGTGGAAATTTTATCTTTTTCACAGCATTCTTCAACACAGTATATAATATGCAGCTCTTAAAATATATAATTGTAATGAGCTAGCTTATTTTTTGAAAATGCTACAGCATTAGGCCTGTGCAAATTTCGATAATTATTCAGAAGAATTACTGCAGACCTTGCCCAAGTGCAACACTTCTCTGAATTTCATTAAAGCAGCCTATTTTTTCAGGCTTCTATATGAGCCTGAGGAAAAAATGCTGCTACTTTAAGAATTGCATTAACTTTAATGAGTGGGTTCCTTAAAACATCTTACATGGAATCCTGAAAATATTGGGCTACTTTATGAATAATAGAGAAATGCTGTGCTCATAAGAAGTCAGAAGTCATTCCAAATAATTTGCAACGCCTGCACAACCCTACTATGCCTAGAAATTTGTATTAATAAATTATAGCATCTTTAGATTAAAATGTTCTAATAAATGCAGATATCAAATTAGATATTTAGAATTTTAGTTAGAATAGGATTGTTTTTAATTGGTAGGCAGTGTTTGTTAAAGTCAGAGAAAGGGAAAATTACTTTCCTGTGTGCTTTTAGTGCAGTTCCCGTCACAACTACTTTGGTATAAATTCCTAGCAGGCATTAACAAATTACAGAGTATCCTATCAGTGTAGTAATTGTAGTGATGTTATTGTCACACAGATGCAGCTGTATAATTCAGAGCTATGCAGTCTATGACCATTGGGTGGCAGTGGCTCCTGTTAGTGATTTTGATGTATGTGGAATAAATCTCTTGAAAGACAATTAGCAAGCTGCTTTCAAAGAAAGTATGTTGATGGAAGCTCTGTGGGCATTATTCCAGCTGCACTTCAAATGGATGAAAGAGAACAGCTGGCTTTTTTGGATGACTGTTTATCGGCTCAGTTAGGAACCCAGAAATGGAATGTTCCTCTCAGAGGATTTCTCTCCCTTCCTACACCCATAGAGATATTTTGCTTGATTTTTTAAAAAGATTATTAGGCTGGTTTTACTAACTTTGTCAGGTACCAGGACAGAATATTAGTCTCTTGGAAGATGATAGAACTGATATAGTTAACATGCTGTGCTAGCCTCCATTTTAGGGCTATATTCAAAATACTGGCATGGAAGATACTAAAATTGACAATTGAATTGAAATTCTAATGCATAATGCATGCATGTACTTGTGATATACATCTGCTGCAAAATTATTAGCAGTTGTGACAATCAGTATGTATATATTGTAAAAGCATTTTTATGTGTGCTTATAATACACAATGTAGTTAGAAACAGCTTTGAAATCAAATTCATATAGATAATAGATAAATTGGGGAAAAACACTAATTAAGATTTAATTATAGATTTTATACCAAGCTAAACAATGCATTTTTGGAGCAGGGCATTTCTTTCTGGGGAGAAGAAAAAACTAAACAGATCT